AAAAAAAAAAAAAAAAAAAAAAAAAAAAAAAAAAAAAAAAAAAAAAAAAAAAAAAAAAGAAAAAAGTAACGATGCAATCATAAAAACAAGAAAGATTCAATAGATACACGTACGCTTGTGTTTATACAGTACAGGGATGATGTAAATAAAACGATCTTTGGTCTAACGTACAATCGCGCGTGTGTAACGACAAGAAAAAAAAATCTCGATGCTGGTGGGTCGGTCGTCACTCCCAGTCGCACGAGCCACGAGTATACATTGGTTGCCTAGCGGCGTTTCCCGAAGCGCAGGAACACGTGGTCCACGTCCTGGCGCTTCATGGTATCTCTCTGCGGCAGGGCGTCCAAGTCGTCCACGCTCAACATCGGGGCTGTCGAACAAAAAAAAAACAAAAAAAAACCGAAAATGGGTACAGGTATACACCTAAAGAGGGGTAGAAAAAAAAAGGTGGAGGGTGGTTTTACCGTTCTCCATGATGTACTGCTCCATGGAGGTGCCGAGGTCCCTTATGGTGAGCAGGGCCATGCAAACCCTGGTCACTCGACTCGGCAGCTCGTGGAGCTTGTTGGGGTGGCACTGGGGCGGCAGGGCGGCCAACGCCTGGATCCTCAACTCCGTGACGCACACCAGACAGACGAGCGCCAGTGCCGCGCAGCTGTTGTACTTCATGGTTTCTACAACACAATATACATCCACCGGTTTAATCGCCGTTATTTTTAATAATACCATCAACTGTCCCGTGTATACTATATTACGTGGCCGCGGATTCTCTTGGCATAAACTTAGATTCCGGGGGGGACGAACCAGTTAACGAGACGAGCCCGGCGTCTCCGGTGGCGCCGTATATAATATACGTTACATACTTGTTATCAACGGAGTGAAATTTCATTAGCTCCACGTACATATACATATATGTATATATACACTCCCGCGCGTGGAGTTTGGTTCCCGTACGATCGATTTTCGGGCTAAATTAATCGATGTCCACCCTCGCCACACCAGGCGATCTTCGTCACTTGAATAACACACGTTTTTTCTTTTCTTTTTTTTTTTTTTTTTTTTTTTTTTTTTGCATTTCCGCGTTTTGCGCGCGATACGCGACAAAGTTGGTAATCGTTGACAGATGTGCCCAGCGAGCGAAACGATAATTATGATAACGGATGAATCGAGGGAGTGGACCGGGCTCCCTTTGGGGAGGGAGTCTCGGATGGACAGGAGAAGAGAGACGTGAGTAATTACGATTCGCAGTGCCAATCAAAGGTATAAGTATAATATTATACAACACAACTGTATACCCATTTCATTCCTACGTATTTATGTGTACACGTAATAATTTCAAAACTAAAAATTCTTTTTTTTTTTTTTTTTAAGCAGAAATTGTGCGATGACTGGGAAAAAGACGAGAGGCATGTGGTACGTTATAGGTGCGTCTCCGCGGAATATACATATATATATGTAGGTAATCGGAACTGTGACAGGTGTTCGCACGCTCTTGACATTTACAATCGAACAGACTACAATAGCGAGAAACTATAAGCACATTTTAAGACAGCCACCGGCCGACGAAAGCGATCGATGATCAATGTATTCTGATTTATGAAATGTGAGGATCATCTCCTGGGTACGTTTGATCACTCGGCGCCCTCGAGGGTATTTTCTACTTGGCTTCAATCGAGGAAACAATTTTTTTTTTTTCACATGCAAACGAGTAAGGAGACATAGGACGAATAAATACAGACTGATGCATACAGAAAAAATGTGAAAGGGAATTTCTGTGTCTACAACACCTCAAACGACCCAATGAAATCGGTAAATTACATTTAAAACTAAAAGTGACACAATTACGAATATAGATACGAGTTTGAGTAATTATTATCGATTATTCCAATATAGTCTGTAAAACCCGAAGACAAACGGGTACAAGATGGGACGGACGTAAACGTATGATCCAAAGAAAGTCTCGCAGGTGTGTAGCAGGGGTGGCACAATTACCGGACGTGCGTCCAATCGTCTCCTTCGTAAATACTCATTAGACGCAACGCGCCGTCACGGGACCGGAAATTGCGATCTTCTCCGCCAAGCGACTCTCTTTTCCTCCATAAACTCAAGGCACACCCCATGTGTTGGTATATATATGCTTTTTACCTGCACCGCGGTTCCCTCGGAATGAAAATATTTTTTGGACCTTGTCGTGTACACGTGCCTCTTTTGCACGTGTTACGGATACGTTAGAGGACGAAATGGGTAGTATACGTAATAACGTTTGATCTAATCAAGGCTACGGTGTTTCAATGGTTTTTGGAGAAAAAAAAAAAAACAATCTTTTCCCAGCAGTATTTCAGAGACGTATATATATATATCATTTGACAAAGACAGTGAGATGTGAAAAAAAAAATCGAAAGTCGTACTCCCACGTAACACTTTCACCGCACTTGCACTTTCTCGCCAATTGCTTTTTTCGTTCCGAAAAAAAAAGCATCGGACCCCCAAACTTAACAAAACTGGACTCACCCTCGTATGTATTGAAACAACTGGAAAAGCACCTCAAGTTTGGTACCTTTCGGGAACCCAAGCAAAAAATCGATGTACGTCCCCCGACGATTTTGAACAAGAAGAGCGAAGCGCGATTCGCATTTCAAAGGGGAAGAAGAAAATTCTCGCCAAATGAAAAGGAGGAGTGTACACCTATATACATATACTAGCCGGACCCTGAAAAATCACGCTCTCGTCGCAAGAGCTTCCATACATACCTTGAAATTTTCTGACGAGCAGGGGGCGCTCGACTCACCTTAGCTCCCCCATGCAATTCCAAGACCCGTAAGAATTACTTCCGACTGAAAAATCTCGATCTCGCGATGCATGATCCGTCGACTCGGGGTGACCAAGCGGTGACTCCGATGGCTCGATTTTCCCGGGGAAAAAAAAGAAAAAAAAAAAAAAAAAGGACACGCGCGCGGATTGAGTTTTCCGTGCGTCTTCCCTGCAGGCGCGCGCTGTATTCGTTATTGCTCCCGACGTGCACGGGATCGAACGAGCGCAAACACAAGGGGGAGTTAATCAGCCGAAACTGGGTCGGAGTCGCGCTATCCGGGCCCCAAGCCAGAGCTCAAGGACTCAAGGGGAAAAAAAAAAAATAGATTTTACACCCTTTGCCGTGGAAACGAAAGGAAATACGTCGCATTGTCGACTGATCAGCTACTTCGCGTGGGCTTTTATTGGATCCCGAGGAATTTGTCGCTCTTCCGAGAAATATTGCCCTTCTCACTCTCTCTCTCTCTCTCTTTAAATTTTATTTCTTTTTTTTACATGATGCGCTACTATAATTTGGGCGCCGCTTTAGCCCCAAATATTAATTATGTAAACAATCACATTGTAACCTTTTGTACTCTGCTCAGGCTATACAGGAACTCGAGTATGTCTCGCTGAGTCCTTAGCCTCTTTAAATAAAAATTCAAATTCAAATTCAAATTCTCTCTCGACAATGCACCATCATCAATTTGCTGGTAATGTACAAAGACATGTTTTTCCAGGTGAATGAAACGTACGTCTCGGTGGAAATCGAATCAAGCCCCCGCGCCGAAGAGAGCACTTGTATTACCGTCAAATTCAAAAACCAACGATGCCCAAACGAACAAATAATGTATTCGCGTGGCTGTGATCCCGTTACTGGAAGCCCCGGCCATTACAAATGAAACGATACGAGGGGGCTTTTCGCCGTCCACCGCTCGATTATTAAATATTCTTCCGGGCGCCGNATGTAAACAATCACATTGTAACCTTTTGTACTCTGCTCAGGCTATACAGGAACTCGAGTATGTCTCGCTGAGTCCTTAGCCTCTTTAAATAAAAATTCAAATTCAAATTCAAATTCTCTCTCGACAATGCACCATCATCAATTTGCTGGTAATGTACAAAGACATGTTTTTCCAGGTGAATGAAACGTACGTCTCGGTGGAAATCGAATCAAGCCCCCGCGCCGAAGAGAGCACTTGTATTACCGTCAAATTCAAAAACCAACGATGCCCAAACGAACAAATAATGTATTCGCGTGGCTGTGATCCCGTTACTGGAAGCCCCGGCCATTACAAATGAAACGATACGAGGGGGCTTTTCGCCGTCCACCGCTCGATTATTAAATATTCTTCCGGGCGCCGTGACGTCGTTGGGCCATGTCCACGGGTGCCAACGGGGGTACAAAAGCACGACCGTAACCGACGCGTTTCTCTCGTGAAAAAAAAATGTTACCGCGACATGACGCACGACCCGGGGCTTTTGCGTCCATACATGGGCTTTCGATCGACGTGCCACGTGACTTGCTTATACTTTTCCATCGTGGCGTATGATTTATTTACGCGGCTCTTCCTCCCGACGACCCGAGTACCGAAAATCGGCAGAATCCCAGGGGGGAACCGCCGACGCAATAAAACTTTCCCCAGAACTTAGCCTCGAGGAGTAACTCATGTCACGACGGTAAGCACAGCACTGATAACCGTTTTAACATTTCCCAACCGATCCCCGAATGAAAATAGAAGAAGAAAAAAAGCTCACAAATTGGTATTCCAACGCAACTCCTCTCGCGCGATTCGCGACTCGCCGGGGGGGGGGGATAATCCGCGGGAAAGCTGCTCCCGACCTGTTGCTTCCCCTGTAATCGGGAGAAAGTGAGCTTGCACGTGCTCGTACACGTATAGAAGGAGCAAAAAGTCCAACTGTTTTTCGCGATGCAAAAAACCTTTCAACAAAATTTAAATGAAGAAAAATCAAGGGCGCCCCACTAGTTGCAAAGTTTTATCAACTATATACGTACCGATGTAAAAAAATTTCCAAGCACGCACCCGGTGCTCGCATATTACGTGTTAATAGTATCTTGTGCTTGCATTAATAATTCATCGGGGAGCGTTTTCTCGGGAAAATTCCATTAAACAAACTTTCTTATAGTTTATCGCGCCTACGACTATGCTTTATATGTATCGTCAACTCGCCGGAGCTCAATGGATTATTAGTTGCACTAAATTATCGGGTGCGGGTGTACATTACGTAAGCATTGGGACGAAAAATAATGGACACACGTGCGCGACGAGTAAAAAAAAAAAAAAAAAAAAAAAAAAAAAAAAAAAAAAAAAAAAAAAAAANTCGATACTTTTTAATCTCCAGAGCACCTATCTATAGAAAAAAAAAAAAAAAAAAAGGGCAAGGAAAAAAGCACCTAAAACGGCATACATCGGTGGCTTTGTATCGCGACGCGCGTGACGCAAACACGCGAGCTAAAATTGGTGTACTCTGTAGCGCTCTCTGCCACCGCAACGATTTTCTTTGTTCGCCTATTTTCCGGGGATATTTATGCACTCGACGTGCGTACAGCCTTAACAACTTGTGCAGTGTTATAGTACTCGTGAAACGTCATTTACGGGAGACTTTACGCTGGCGTATTTTTCCTCCACACGGAAATCGAGCCTTCCTTTCGAGGGGTTTTTTTTTTTTTTTTTTTTTCTTTTTGTTATCTGTATACAGCGCTCTCGTACGTATATTTACCGGGATAATCTTTCCTCTCCCCCCGGAGATGTGAATAACGTCTCGTATCAACCTTCTGTTGGGCCGAGATTTAATTAATCCCCGGTTCTTTATACATCTGCGGCCCTGCGATATCGCTCGGTTCTTATCTATACGGTACGTGATGTACGTGGTGCGTAGGTAAAAAAATTAGGATTTTCTTTTCATTCGCGACTATATAGATGGCACAGTTTGATGTGTATTAGATAATTGTTTCGCCGAAAATCCCGAGCGTGAGTCGTATGAAATCGGTATGGATTTAAATTAAAAAAAAAAAAGTGGAGGAAAAAAAAAATCGTTGGATTATCTCAGCAGAGGGAAAATAGGTAGAAAGGCGCTTGAGTGAAACGTCAAAGAGGCACTTTGTCGGAAGGGAGCCGATCGATCGTCTCCATATCCGATATCCCATATAGCCGTGCAATCGGAAATTCAGCCGCGGTCGGCAATCGAAATGACTGGAAAGACAAAAAGGGAGAAAAGCAGTCGTGTATATATACGTGTATATATATATATATATATACACGGGAAATCACGGCAACGATAAGCTCACGCACGCGTCGGTGTGTATAATGTTATACCTTTGCTTTCCTCATTCGCATCACGTCGCGCGTGTTACTTCGTTTTCTCCCGTTCGTCGATTTTCGAACCGATAAATATCTATTTGGGGAGATTTTTACTACACGCACGCGACGACTCGTCCGCGCGTGTACTCATCGAAGTGTCACAACCAAAAATACACCTGCCGGTCTGCTGCTTCGCATGTATATTTTCACTCTTTTAGCTTTGAAAAAAAAAATAATAATAATAATAATAAAATACAATCCACCGCGAATAAGGGAAATCACAGTCGAGTGGCACGATAAGAAAAGGAGAAGGAACGATATGGCACTATGTTGGCGAGTGAAATTTGATGGATCGTTGCGGAAAAATGTTGATCGCGTGTGTTTTTGATGTTAAGTACGCATACTTGGCTCCTCTGAGGGATTCAACAAATAAATCAGCCGGTATTTAAATCTCGAAAAGTACCATTTAACGTATACGTCTTTCAAAATGCGTGGTAATAATTTTGTTAAATTATTTTTAATGCTTTGAAAAAAAAAGATTTTTTAAACGAAATTTCTTGGTAAACCCAATGTGCTTTCAACAAAAAACATTTTACGTAAGTTGCGTGGAAAAACTTTATACCTACTCCACGCGTACACGATACGCGAGTAAAGAAAAAGCACCCGCCGAGTTGCGCAACCCGTAGAAATATCATTATTGCTTCTTATACAAAAAGACCAACTCGATCTTACGAAAAAATCGTTTCGACACTGTGCCATGGCGAATGCTTTCAAGAGTGATTTCGTCGATGCGAGGAGTTTCTAATACACCGTTACCATGCGTCCAGCGTTTTTACCCTTAAACCCTCCCTCCCCCCCCCCCGCTCGCAAAAGTATATTTTTACACCAACAGGTGCGATAAAGTTTGACGCGTTTTTATTCGTGGGTTGTAATTTTCTCTCGGGCGACGCGTCGGTGGTTTCTTACATACGCGAGCACATATATTTAAGTAAACTCTCTCGTAGAGTATACTTGTAATCGTTTCCGCGTCCTTGCGCGCGCTAATTACGGTGTGAGAAAACGCGGAGGAAAATAATTAGTTGTATCAATTTGGTCCCGCTTTTGTCGTTGGAACGCGGCTTTCCCATCAAAGATTCCGTCCGCGAAGTTACTCCTGATTATTTTAATAATTCGATTCGCCCGGTCGCGCAATTTCCCGTCGAGTTAGTCATTCGCCTTTTGCGCTCGAAATAAGCAAAGGACGCGTGTATCGAATGCTCACGCGAGTTTGGGCACGGATACTTTTGTCCACTTTTTAAAACTTTTTTACGAAAATTCATTATTTTTGCTGAATGCATTTCTTAGTAGTGATTACACGGAACAATATTTTTTTCCAGCTGAAAAAATGCTTTACACACTAATATGAAGAACAATTAGTAGAAAAAAAATGAGTCAAACTTTTTAAATATTTCAAGTTTTAACGTATTGCGCTTAACTGGTGGAAAAATAAATTTCTTGTTCAATATTACGTTGCAAATAGTATAACGAGTAAAAAATTTTTCTAGAAAGAAGAATATGCTTTTCAATCAGGAAAAAAAATTTTCTTTTAAAGTGTTCAAAAAAAAAAAAAAAAAACCTATGTAACAATAGTAACCAACACTGGCTGTATAATAATAAATGTTTGAACTTTTACTTGCGTCTGAGAATTATTGTGTATTTTAATAACTATGATACAAAATATTAGTTACATACGTGAGCAAATTACGTACGTAAGACAGGTAATTTCGTAAAGTTGAAACGATATCCCGAAAAGTAAGTCATTTAAACGCACAAGTGTCGAAAAATAAATTTGATAACTGCACCAAATGCATCTACATTTTATCGCACGTGCTGAGCAAGTTTGAAACGTTGTTAACGGGAAAACATGTTGTAGTTGTGCTGCAGCGAAGGGTGCGCGTTTCAATGAAAAGTTGCAAGATGAAGGGGAAGTGGTATAATGTACATGGTACTCGTACTAAAGGGTACTTTTTTTCTTTTTTCTTTTTTTTTTTTTTTTCCATACACGTAGTTTTCGAAGCAAAACTCGGGAGATTTGAAAACTTCTTCAAGTCTCGAGGATGCAGGCTTTGTCGAGCGCGCAAACTTCATCGACGCATTCCTCGATGTTTTCACCTTGCGCGAGTTTCTCGTTACTTACAATGAAAAAAAAAAAAAAAAAAAAAAAAAAAATGCAAGGTCGTGCACGAAAGAGTGAGCTTCGATTTCCATCGCGAAATTTCGAGGACTTGATTCGCGACGGGACGACATTCGTTCGCAACGTTAGAACTCGCGCGGTATGTACAATAACAGACGTCCGAGCTATTCGACGCGCATCCAAATAAATTCACGGCGCACGGACAGATCCTCGGATTTCCAATGTCGGAGTGTTTACAAGCTTTTTCCCCCCATTCGGAGAATTCGCATAAAAACGCGTGTCCGATTTTTCGCGTGCGCAGCAATTGTGAAATGCCCGTCGATCGTTTTTTTTCCCCCGTGCACGTCGGAAACATAAAAAAAAAAAAAAATAAAATTTCCAGTCCGCCAAGCTCTACTTCAAAGTTGGAAAATATTTGTATGGCTTCGTATCTGGTTCGTTTTGAAAAAACGTTTCCACGCGTGAGCGTCGTTTACTTTGGTCAAGCTTGTTTTTTTCCTTTTTTTTTAAATAAATCGTTTTGAAATCGAGTACCAAAGATCTACGATTTCGCAGCAGTATAATAGTTTTACATTTTCGTCGGGATGCACCACAAACGATTATTACTGAAAAAAAAACACGTTCTGGACAATTATTTGTATCCGTTACATGCGGAGCTCCGATACATTTTTATCTTCTTCCGATCCGAAGAATAAAACTTGTTGGTTTAACGATTTCAAATCGCGTCAGTTGGTGTTAATTCATATAATATAATATACGTGGGAGCGCCTCGAAACAGTAACTTCTCTTTTTTTTTTTTTCCCCTCCACTTTTCGAGCCACTCGTAATTTATTGAGTCCGACGCGCCCCAATTAATAAAGCATAAGCCGCGCGGTCGTGCGAGTTTTTCGATCGAGCCAATTCATCTCGGAGCCGCCCTCCCTATAGCGCGTCATCGAAATAAGAAATTTATTGTTATTTTTACGCCCTCCCCGGCTTATAATTTATTTATTAAGCGCAAATAGAATACGGAGGATGGGTCGAGGGTAATATTAATCGCCGGGAGTTGCGCGGCGCGTCATGCAGTGCAGGAGTTTATTCGGGAGGGAGAGGAAGGGACTCGTTTGTCATCGCGATGGGGAAGGGCTGTGGACGCGCTTTGATTAACAATGGAGTCCACCTCGATTATGCTGGCAGAGATGACTTTTTTCTATTTTTTTTTTTTTCATCATCGGAAACAAGTATATGGTGTCTTTTGGTCGGGATGAGAATTTACGTCCTCCGGTTTTACTGGCAAGGTGCCGATGCGCCGGGAATATAATATCGGTGTGGATATCGTTTGTTGGGAGACAAAGATAATCAGTTGTATAACACAATATATTCGGACACGTGGTAATTATTCCCTAATTTTTGTGACCAAAACTACGAAAGTAATGACTTTGTAAGGATTTACCGTGTGGATGATAGCGCCCACATTGGGGGAACTGAGCTATTCAATGACACTTTTTTAACAATAATTGTGTATAGTTTTTTTTTATTGAATTAAATAATAGGAAGATATAAGCATAAAATAGCTTGCCATTCGGATGGTTTTACCGTAAACGGACACTTGTACGCTAAAGGAATTCAAAAGTGATTTTCAGCAATAAAAAAAGCAGGGGACATTTTCAACTTTTTAAAATCGTTTTTTACAATTTAATTGTAAAGTTTTAATGGCAACGTTTCTGAAACAATTTGTGCGCTATACCAAGGCTTCCTTACATTAAATTTAATCAAGTAGTTTGTACCTATGTGAATAGTTGTCGATTAAATGTACGTTTACATAAATGTGGTATGGACGCGATTGTAAAGCCAAATATTATTTGCTTCGTGAAGCCCTGCGCCCACGGAACCGTCAGTACACCAAAACAACGTTTATTAAAATCGAAAATTAAAATTTGACAAAAAAAAAAAATGTATTTCCTACGGCTGTACCATCAAACGTTTGCGTGTATATGTATAAGAGTTACAAGTTAAACATTCGTTGGTGCAGCCGATGATCAAAGTTGGACCGATTTCGTGATAAAATGTAAGAAAGTTCCCGAAAGGACATCGGGAAAAGGAGCCAACTTTTCAATTACTTCGCGCACCGAGAACAATCTCTCCCCCACCCCCGCGGACGGAAGGAAGAGCGCAACAGTTGGCGAAACTACCGTTCCCTTTCACGCGCGATTACAACTCGTAGTCCTTTCTCCCTTCCACGAAGGAAAGAGGGGGATGAAAAAAAAAAAAAAAGCAAACGTATCTTCAGGACTCACCGATAAAACTCGCCGACGCCTCGTTGAAAAATCGTCAACCGGTATCCACGGACAAGTGCACCACCGGTCCGATCAAAGGGTGTACAGGTAGAGAGAGTCCGGCAGGTGGTTGCTCGTCGAGCCAAGTGACGCTCGGAGCGGCCGGCATTCCCCCTTAAATACGCGCACCAGCCAGGTGTATATAACCGCCCCGTTCTACCCCCTGATGATGATGCCGCCTACCCACACGACGTGTGGAATAGCGCGCGCGCACCACCACCCGCGCACACCAACCATTGACTGTACGATACATACATATTCGAACTCCCTTATAGTACATCTTTCTTTTTTTTCATTCCGATGTACAACACGTTTCACGCGACCACCATCACCATATACCCCATGACGTATAAGACTGCATCAAGTACACCCTTTATCTTCTTCTTGCATCTAATATTTAATGCTTTATTTACATATAACAATGGAATTTTTATAATGCGTACGAATTATCATATAATATTGTGGACCCTGCAATGATCGCTGTACATGCGTATTTGGAGTGTTGTTATCAAACTGATGATAGCCCGATTGTATTATCGGTAAGTTTTTTTCTTTCTTTTTTACCGAGATTCGTGCATTTACGATGAAAAAAAAAAAAAAAAATTCTCGTGACACCCGTACAAGTGCAGATTTCGCGTCGAGTTTCAAACAACTGTTGGATTCAATGTATACCTATTAAGCGCCCGAGATTTTCCGGTGCGTTATTGGGTGTCATCCCTTAGTTGAGGGGGGGGGGGGGAGATTGGATTTGCGGGACTGAAACAAAAAAATATTGTACAAATGATTGATGGGGCGTCGAAAATAGAACGAAAACACGGCTCTCGAGATGATGATGATGCGCGCTATCATTAAAACAAGAGGTGCTCGAGGAGCGTTGAAATGTATACAGCCACCCCCCCCCTTTGACATCCCTATATAATGTACAGACGATCCGTGTTTGTTTTTGAATAGTACGTCACGAGAGAGAGGAAAAAAGATCGTCTCCCCCTCGATGCTGCGTACTCGATGTATATATCGTACTGCCGTCAACAACTGTGAGGAACACATTAAGTATCTGCGATGTAAAATAACGATAAATACCCATACGCGTAAATTGGACGAGGCAACAAAGGTAAGACCGATACCGATTGTACGTACTTACACGGGAGATCGTCAAATCTCGGTATATACATCATCGGTTGGCCGAGTATGTACAAGGAGCCAGAGGAGAAAGGTATATACATCTGGGAGGATGCGAGCCATTAGAGGAAACTCCCCATCAGCAGCTATACGTATATACCGCTATTATTGTTATACATACACGACAAGCGCTTCAACGCTAAACGTATTCGATGTGTATTCCGGTGCATGCACAGTGCGCCTCTCCTCTCTACACTATATATACGTTGTGTATACACATATATATATATAAGCAAGCGATAATCGCGTCGAGAGAATGGTAAACGAATTACCGAGGGCGCTTACAATGCGCCGCATGCGGGTGGAAGCTCGCGAGTTTCCAGAGAGGGGGACTTTTGCGGGGTTTTTTTTTTTTTTTTTTTTTTTTTTTAATAGTCTCTCGAGTTCAAGTTCGTTCGCGTATACGTATATATACAGCGGATTAAAGGAGGAAGGGATAATCGGGTCCTCGATGCGGATGGATATAAACACCGTGTACGCAGATTTCTCGACCCTCGAGGTCCTTAGGTACCTCCAAGCTATATAGCCGCTTACCGGCACAACGGTTATATCTCTACGTACAGGGAAAATTTATATAATGCAAAACATACGATGAGCGTGTATGTAATCTCTCGCGATTAAATTTACCGGTTAACGTCTCCACGGTATCAATTAAAACTAATGTTGGGTAATCGTCATTTTTTTTTTTTTTTTTTTTTTTTCTGGAAAATTTTGAGCTTCAAACGCAACCCTTCCTCCCCTGTTACGAGAGGAAACACAAATTGCATTATCAGCCCGTGTGAAATGGAGTATCGGCAAATAGGAGTAGTTCAAGTAGTTGTCTGCATCTGCGACGCGTGCATGTATATTCACATAATTGCATGTGTATAACGTCGAAGGTGCGGGCAAGTAATTAAACTCTACGTACTTCAATGACATATATATATATATTTTGTGTCATATGTACATATATGCCTGTACCATGTGTTGTTTGTTGACAATAAGAACGTTTAGATAGTATAAAACGAATGACAATTAGAATCGCGTGTTCTAAAAAATAATAATTAAATTTAAAAAAAACGTTTTTCTTTAGAGCTCGATAATTGCCACCCGAGTAGTTTAAACGTTACACGTGTGACTCGTTCAATTGGTACCTATTTATTTCATGATTGATATCATTTTAATTGATTTACACCGCATATAATGTTACATCGACGTCGGGTGTATAGGGATTCCACGAAAATCTTGAGATGTGGGATTCATGTAATTCAACGGTATTGATTATAGGCAGTACACTATACTGTAATTATTTAGAGCTCGAAATTAAAAAGTATTGTTTATTTTTTCGCGAAAAGCATCGATTTGATCGTGTATTATGAGTTCTTCCGTCCAGCCGTAGGTGTCCAGCAATCCCCTGCGGTCGTCATCGCCGTACAACACATATAGGTACGCGTGGAGCCAACTTTCGAGATTGAATTTTTCAGAATCGCGCGGTTGGCACAACTACACACCGGTGGTGGTGATAATAGTGCTCGGGTATTATGGCGCTTCCAAAGTTTTCGAAGCCACTGCAAGCCCGTGCGAAGTTTCAAAAGTTCGCGGAGAGGGTCAGAGGGAAGATAATTTTCCCCCGGTGAAAACGAACTTTAATGGCCATCGCACGCCCCAAAGTTTCGATTTACTACCGATTCGCGGAATCGACGACGTATACACTTTGTACTTTTTTTCCCCTTCGTTACTCTTCCTCGCGCTTGGAGTGGAAAAACACTTGGCAAACGATATAATATTTTCTCCTCGCGATGCTCATCGGTGTACTCGTTACATGTAAATCATTTATATACGTATATAAATGATTGTGTTGCTCTCGAGTAACCGAGTCATCCAACGTGAAATATAACTATTAGACCACAACTATTTTTCAGGGTTGGAGTTATACATGTGTACCTTTGGTTGCGAAATCATCGCGAAGCTCAGCGAGATAAGGGCGCAACAGGTGGAGCGTACAAGTATAATATACCGAAGCCCACGCGCGCCTACGCTGTGCACCATGTGTGATGCGTATATATACCCAAGACGATCGATACATAACGTATATATGTACCTTAGCCGCGGTCGTGCAGTCGGGGAGATGGGCTTCTTTGGGCTCGACGAATTATTCGTTACGATTAAAATGAATGGGTCGTGAGTTGCGCGACCGACGTAATTACTACTGCTCTTGACAGTCATACAAACAAGACAAACATTATGGTTACGACAAAACTAATTTATCACGCGAAATTAGGTGAACCAGTGACGAACTTGCAACTTTCTGTAAATATGTGAAATGCATATCATGTCGCACGCTGTACGTTCATTTGTTGGGAATACACATTGTTTTCAAAGTTTTTTTTTTTTTTTTTTTTTTTTTTTTTTTTTTTTTCTTTTTGTTATCTGTATACAGCGCTCTCGTACGTATATTTACCGGGATAATCTTTCCTCTCCCCCCGGAGATGTGAATAACGTCTCGTATCAACCTTCTGTTGGGCCGAGATTTAATTAATCCCCGGTTCTTTATACATCTGCGGCCCTGCGATATCGCTCGGTTCTTATCTATACGGTACGTGATGTACGTGGTGCGTAGGTAAAAAAATTAGGATTTTCTTTTCATTCGCGACTATATAGATGGCACAGTTTGATGTGTATTAGATAATTGTTTCGCCGAAAATCCCGAGCGTGAGTCGTATGAAATCGGTATGGATTTAAATTAAAAAAAAAAAAGTGGAGGAAAAAAAAAATCGTTGGATTATCTCAGCAGAGGGAAAATAGGTAGAAAGGCGCTTGAGTGAAACGTCAAAGAGGCACTTTGTCGGAAGGGAGCCGATCGATCGTCTCCATATCCGATATCCCATATAGCCGTGCAATCGGAAATTCAGCCGCGGTCGGCAATCGAAATGACTGGAAAGACAAAAAGGGAGAAAAGCAGTCGTGTATATATACGTGTATATATACATATATCCCACGCATTCTTGTACTCGTACATGATTAGGTGCACTTTTCCACTAATTTCAGTTGTATCATTTTAATAACTCCATTAATTGATACACCGCGTTCGCATTATTTTTTTTTAACTCTTTGATAAGATAGGAAACATGAGATCATAGATTTGAAGAGCACGATTTCTCTCGAAGGTTATCTCTGTCCTTACACAAATGATGATTATTCCGTTTGATATTGTTATTTGTAATCATAATTTTCCTTCGCAGATAAAAAAATTTTCTCGTTATTTTACCACGCTATTTTATTANATAAAAATATCAAGTTTTCGATTTTTGCAACATTTATCGACCAATAAGTAGTTCACGAGGTATACATTTGGCATTTTGTTGTGGTATCCAAGTTTTGGTACTTCAAGAAAATCATTTAATAAAAAATTGCAGTTTTCACAAACGTTTCATACAGAAATAAGATGTAATTAAAATTTTGTAAAATAAATTGAAAAGATGCAAAACAAGAGACAATTTTTACAAAAAATTACAAGTTTGAGTTTGTCACAAGTTGGTGAAGCGCGTCGAGGCCAATTATGCAATTAAACAAGCAACAGTACAGTCACCTACTTGTTGGTTATCTCCTATAGCGTGTCAAGGGCGGCTCCCAACTTTTTATCGCAAACTCGCTTTTTTTTTTCTAACCACACCTGGACACATACATATACACTTACCGATCAAAAACGCGGGATTGATAAAAAAAAAAAAACTGCCTCGATCCCGATAAATTCTACTTCCGGTGCAGGTGACCAAGTCCGCATAATCGCCCACATTCGGCTCGGCTCTTCATTCATATTAAAAGGGCACCCGCCATCGAGCCACACCGTAATCTCCAAAATAAACCACAGCCGAAGCTACTCGCCCATTACACGGCATTGCGCAATTATATGCATCCAAGTGTCGATGTAATGGAAAATAACAATACCGTTCAAAGGGTGGTTTTTTTTGTTTTTTTTTGAAGTGGCAAAAAATAAACCGAGGAAGAAACGAGCCGTCGAAGCGCATACAGCCACCGATAAAATATGAAACGTGGGGGGGGGGAGGATTTTTCCCATCTAGGACGTCTTGTGGGAAATTAGCCGAGCGACACTGGCGCGTTGTACCCAGCGCGGGGAATAATTTCGCTCGTATCCCGCAGAGAGAGGCGCTACGTCCTCCGACGGTGGCTCACGGGCCCGGCAAATCTGTTTTCATCTTCGGCCTTTACCCGTCGCGTGGCGGGATATTAAAACAAAACGACACGCGTCGCGCCCGCGTGACGGCTCAATCTTCCCTCGCCCTTTTGCATCGTATTATCATCACATATAAATGTACAGGCCAAGTGCGAGGAAAAACGGATTTCTTTTCTTTTTTTTTTTTTTTTTTCTTCCCACCTTGGATGTATATATACTCTTGACTCGGTTCTTAAACCATCAGGACTGGATTTCTATGCGAGTGCGTAGCTCTGGAATATTAAATCCGTCCTTTCGAAATCGTTTTTACAGAAAGCTGTTTCAGTGGGTTAGCCCATTCTACGTCTCATTCCTTAAAGTCCAATTTATTTCCATACCTCATGTATTGTAGTTCTACTTTCATCAATAATGTATCGTTTGATTAATTTTGTATGTATATATGCCGCTCAAATTGTTATTTGAACATTTAATTTGTAACTGTTATTTTTTCTGTAACACACATTTTTTAATTGTTACTTTATGTGTGCGTAAATTAATATATATACATGCTACGGCTATTGTGAGCTTTTAGCTGTCGAATAAAGAAACCTTAATCTGATATAAAATTTTGGAGGAAATAACGACTCTGGCGCGAGTCACGGTCATCGCATGTCTGTATATGACCATTGTCACGCGCCGCTCGGCAGGCCTCTTTGATAGAAAATAACGATCAGCGCTATTTTCATTGCGCTTTATAAGAGATAAGGGACGTAGTTTCTCCGCAATATTGGACCATAATTTTACATTTTTCATATCAACTCAAGAACAACAAATGAAACTTATATACCTACGTACAAGAACTTGTAATCATCACCGGGAGAAGAGAGGGGGGGGGGGTGCGATTTTCCAGGTCGGGGGGAAATTCGATTCTGCTTACGGGCAAAGTGGGAAAATTCTCATATGAGCACCCCTTCCATCCTCCCTAAGTTAAAACGTGACCTGCGTGACTGATCGTCGAGTGCGTGTGTGTGTGTGCATCCCCGCTCGGAGGATACGTTAGAGTACCACCAGCGTCTCTTTTCTCCGCTGAATCGGTTAGGCGATCGCGCGAGAGGAACACGGAGGTAATAAAATAACCGGCATTTTCGCCGTTGCACCAGCGGTGAAAGTGTGACGCTGCATGTACTTTTTACCGTATTTTAAGGGTTACTTTTATACATTCCGGTCAAATTTTTCGGCGGTTTTTTGACTCTCGACTCGATTCTCAATATTATCGGCAATTTTACGTAGCATTAATTCGTAGAATCAACTGCAGCAATTCAACTATTCGCAGAAAAGTGGCAAATTATTGTATACGCAAAAAATATAACTGTATTTTATAAAATAACGTTTATTATGCAAAGCCTTATATTTAGTACTCGTAAAATAATGATGCGGTTATCAAGAGAAGTAGATTAATATTTAACGGAACAAAAATTTTAATCTAGTAGTTTATATAGTCATGCTGGATGTAATGTTAAGATATGAAAAAAAATGACTCAAGAGTTGATGGAAAATATCGAGCTAAATTTACACCATGAGATAATATGTAAAAAAATTTTAATTACAAAATAGTATGAATTGTTAAATGTATTGTGTGGTACAAAAATAAAAATGGATGTTTTTTAGGGAAAGTTGAAACCAATTTAGAACTCTTTAGCTAACGACTTGATAAAAATAACAAAATCGTTTTTTTTTTTTTTTTTCAACTACAATGCGTCATTAATGACCAACTTAAATTTCGAAACGACATACATCAATAACAAATTTGTTATATTTATGTTGATATTTTTAAAATTTGACCTCCCATGAATTAGTTATGGATAACGAACAGTTATTGTACTTGGAAAAAAATAATTCTTTTTTTATCGAATCATTAACTGAAGAATTTTAACTTGCATTTAATTCGAAATTGTAACTTTTCCTCAAAAAGACAGTCATCGAGTCATAATTTTTCACATGTACGATTATAAATAAATATACTGATTGTTTAATAGTTACGAAAGTATTACACAGCTATAAACTGATCGCTGTCGAAAAATATAAAAATCAAATTAGATGGAACGTACATTTTTTATTAACAAATTGCATTAAAATGGCTTTCATTGTTTTATTAATTGTTTAATTAAAATCTCGATTCTCTAGTGAAGATATTAAGCCGGTGCACCTGTCATAATCATTTTTCGGCATTGCTTGCACCAGCGTATAGTTAAAAAACCGTAAAAGACTTCCAAGTTCTAGTTTGGTGGCGCGTATTGCGTCATTCGGTGATGTCGAGAAAAAAAAAAAAAAAAAAAAAAAACAAAGAAAGAAGATAGCCTTAAAAAAAGGGGCAGAAAGGCAAAAAATGCTAATACGATTCGAAAGCCGTGGGTTCACGCAAACGATCGATCGGCTGACGCATCCGATCACGAGATGGTTTGACGTTACGCACGATACGGTGCATATGCTTATAGGTTTTCTCCTCAATAATGCATCGAGGCGCTGAATTGTGCCATTTTTTCGAATCATTCGCCGATGAGTAATGCAGCGGAATGACGCCCAAGTGGTCGCCTGCCATCGCATTCTGTATTCCCTGTGGTAGTAGAGATTTATGGTAAAAAACAAAAACAAAAAAAAAAAAGAGCTTTATACAACACGTAACATAGAAAGTGACCTTTTCATTGAGAATCAAATAAAACTTGGAACCATTTGCAATTATGTAAAAGAGCAATTTCAAAAGTTTTAGAAAAAAGCATGAGTTGGAGTATTGCTTTGTAGATAAGGTAAAAGTATAGTAACTTTCCTTGGCAATGTACACAATAGCAAGTTTTTTTTGCGCGATAAAAAAAGGCTTTTTTTTAATAATTGTACACTATAGGTATTCGAACGGCTGGGTTCTGTCATTATCTAAAACATGTTTTTTTTTTGTTTTTATCGCAATTGGATGACGACTCATTCCAAAGTAAAGTCTCATTTCAAAATACTTGCCAAGTTTTTTTCGAGTCGACTTTGGTATAAAGTTTTTATTTTTTACATTTTACACAGTAATTTAATTTTACAGACTTTTTTAACAAATCCATACGCAAAATTACTAATTTTAAATAAAGGCTTATCCAAGAATGCCGATCGCGTGAAAAACATTTTCTACTCCCTTCCACTCGGCTCGCACGTGAATCAAAAGGCAAAAAATTTTCTTTGCGTTCAACACATCGAGAAAGAAAATGTAAAAGTGAAACTCACACGTAAGCGCGAGTCATCCTGTTCCGCGAAAGATCCACCGTCTCTTCGTAGGGCAAAACAAGCGATGCACCAGCTACCGAGTCCGTCAAAAATCGGCAGCGAAAATCCAAAATAAGGCACCAGCCGGCTCATTGACGAGCTTATGTCCACCTTCCACGGCACCTCCAAAGGGAGGGAGACCGAGAAAATGTCAAAAGTCGCTCCGGCTAATCACGTGTCGCGAGTCTTTTACTCGACGCGGCCAACAGGTCGCTACGCAGTCCCTCATCGGTCGGCGCTCCTAACCGGTTGCTCCGAGCCGCGCAGATTCGCTCGATCGAAAACAGTTCCGCTCGGGGTGACGCGAGCCCAGGAAGTGACCTTGGATTCTTTCTTCTTCTTCTTTTTTTTCGACCGATAAATTACACCCGGCGCGACAAGGATTGGATGGACCCGACCCCGTGGAAGCAGCGGCGCTACCGGTACTTCTACCTGTGACATCGAAACCCCCCGTGCCAAAGTAACGGCCGATCTTTTGCCGATCTCTTCTGTTTATCGTCATTCTCTCCCCGTTTTTTGAAACAACCATCCGAGAGAGCGACCATGTTCGGACAAGTGCAACCAGACTTTTTGGATCCCCAGCCCGAGAACGAGAACAAGGATGGCTTCGACGCGAGGATCGTGCGCCCCAAACTCAGGACTTTGAGCGACAACGCTGGTGAGCTTTCATTCATCGCTTGAATACTTTTTTTTTTTTTTTTTCTTTCGAGTGAATTAACGGGTATAAAAAAAAAACTCACACATTACGGCATTACGTATACTTCTTCGATAAATACTTACCGAGTGGGTGTGTCGAATATAAAACATGAGAGAAGGTCGCTATGATTAATTAAACTTCCCGTGAATTCGAGATAAGGGAAGGGGGGACAAGAAAAAAGTTTGGTAACGCGTTGTCGGATGCAAGATGTACAAGAGACAATTAAAAAGATAGCGAGATCTTGAGCCCCCCGCACCCCCAAGTGAGGCAAGAAGCCTCAAAAAGACAAATAGCCGCGAAGTAATTAAATTCCAACAAAGGGACTCGTACATTCACAAAAGCTGGCGCGTATTTATAAATTCATGGAAAATCGATTTTCTTTGTTTTTCCCGTCGTTTAATTGAATAATTATTCATCGCGTGCGCGTCACGTCGTGGGTGTTATTATGGAAAAAAATAAAAATAAATTATTTTTCTTACATTTCTGTTTTTCTTCGACCGAGCGGTATAATTGCCAGTACAGTCGGTTGGAACACCGTAATGCAATGGGCCGATTCGAATTGAATTGCAACGGTACGCATCGGTCGTCGAAACAACGAATAAATTGACCGGCTCGACGGTTTGTGACTTTGAAATTTTTTAGCCGCGACTCACCTATACCTACTCCAGCTGGAGCTAATGAACTCGTCGGTTACGTCTATCGATTTTAATGTTTTTCTTTCTTTTTCATCGTCGTCATCATCGTTGCCGACATCGTGGTTGATTAACACGCGCGCGATTATACCACGAGACCGGTAAGCCATTACAAATGCGCGTATAAAATTAGCAACTCCAATGCGCGATCGAACGAGCGTTTTTTACATTTTGAATTTTAAAAACGCTCTCGGTGCTGCATTTGGTTGAAAAATCGGGGAAAAATTTTGTTAAATACTGAAATTTCTCTTCACAATGGTTTGCAATGCGTCACCTGTTGAAAACTTTTCAAAAAATGCAATAATTTATACTAATTTAACCGAGGGAGCAAACCTACTTGAGTTTTACAACAGTGTCACTCTTTTCATTCTTTTATATTATATACGTTTAATCGTATTCGTCTGTGGCTAAGACCACTAGTACGCCGTACTCATGAGTTGTGGTCAATTCTTTATTTTCGCATATTTCTAAAAAAAAGAAAAAAAAATGATTCAAGTGTAAATTTAGTCTTAGTATAAATGTAAAAGTTTTTAAAAAAATGATAATCTTGTAAAACTTGAATCTTTTTACTCCTTCAGTTAAATTTGAAAAAGTTTTGTCACTTTTTGATATTTGAAATTCTCACAAAAATCGACAGTAGGAATGATTATCAAAATGTACTCCTACTTTCTAAATTACAAGATTTTCACTGACGAAATGGTGAAAAATTAGGGTCTTTAAAATTTTAAATATTTATCAGTAATCCCATGAAATATCTTGCTCCGATACACGTTGTACAGCCCATATACATTATTTCGAGTAGTGCTATACCAACAATGAGTCAACCAACCAATCAAAATAGTGAAGCGTTAACCGAAGGAGAAATAACGAATATTCACTATTTCGCAGTAATTTTTCACTAGTACAAATAAGTTATAAATAGAAAAGTTTGAAATAGTGAAATCGCTTGTTTCACCATTATTATTTTGCAAAATGTGTGTGCTTGTAACTTTTTCGAGAGTGAAGTTGCCGCATGTTTTTTGTAAAAATGAATGAATGCATTGAGCTTGATCGCGCACACCAATAAATATATATACACACGGCCGGTAGTGCGCAGTCATGCGACGTGTGAGTCGTGTGTAACGTTCCTCTGTTGGTGTAAAACCGCAGATTACATATTCAACCAGAACCGATACAAAAGCCCGCAGTACGAGGAAACGTTCGGCCGATCGATCGAAAACCCCGAGGAGTTTTGGGCGGAGGTCGGCCAGTGCATCGAGTGGAGCAAACCCTGGCGCAAGGTCTTGGACAACTCCAACGTGCCGTTCACCAAATGGTGAGGAGTCAATTTCTTTTCATTTCTTTTGCTCGCTTCTCCTTCATCAACCGAAACGGCATAATTATTATTCAAGCCCGTGATTATATATACGATGAAAGGTAAATGGCACATTGTGATTCAAATGTTGAGCAAGTGTGCGGCGGTATAGAGGAAACTCTCGTCGGCGCATCGGTCGATCTCTTGCTTATGTATATGGAAAAAAAAAAAGAAAAAAAAGAAAAATTTGATAACAGGTTCGTGGGCGGGGAAACAAACGCCTGCCACAACGCGATCGACCGTCACGTGGCGGCTGGTCTCGGGGCAAAAACGGCCCTGATCCACGACAGCCCGATGACGCAGACGGTGCGCAGGGTGAGCTACGACGAGCTCCTCGACAAAACGTCCCGCCTGGCCGGGGCTTTGAGCGAATTGGGCGTCGGCCCGGGTGACCGAGTGCTCATCTACATGCCCGTCATACCCGAGACCATCATCGCCATACTGGCCACCGCTCGCATCGGTGCCGTCCACTCCATCGTCTTTGGCGGTGAGTTATTTGCACATATACGCATACGTAGCTCAGTTGGAGATGAAGCTGAAACAGCAGCAGCGACACTTACCGTCAAATGCATACCCCCTCAGTTTAGGTGGTGGTCTACGTGCCCCAAGTAGAATTTGTTACTTGAGACCGTAAGTATATCGCTAATGGAAATTGTCTCCTATAGTTTCAGCTTCATCGGTTGGGGATTTACATATTCACAAGTACACTTTACTTCGTTGTTTCCGTACATGCAAAATAATCTGATTGCCAACAAATCACACACCGGATATACCCGAGAAAGTAGGCCACGCTTGTGGGGAAAAGCGATACTCTCTCTCTCGTCTCATCTCGCTTTCTCGAGCGCAGTAATATTTTACCGTGATCTAAGTATATCGCCGGAGTTCTCGAAAGTTAAATTTCATGCACGACAGAGCGACGCGTCTGACCAATGCGGGTTCGTACTACTCGCGGCATCCCGGGGACGACGAGATCATTGTGAAAAGCGTGATATAAGTATTCGCTGCAAACATTATTATTACACCGGCCTTGTCTTGTTTTTTGATGTGTGCTCCCAGGGTTTGCAGCCAAGGAACTGGCGACGCGAGTCGACCACGCCGAGCCCAAGGTCATTATAGCCGCCAGCTGCGGTCTCGAGCCCAACAAAGTTGTAAGGTAAGAAATACGAAACATTCTTTTCTGGAAATTGTATGTTTGATGTATACCCTGTGCCTTTTTTTTTTTTAATTGACAAAGATATAGGGTCAAAATTCACTTTGAAGGAGTTTATGTTTTTTATGAGCATTAGAGTGGCTTTGTGTTTTTATTGGGTTAAAATTGCCAGTGTTGATGAAAAAAAAAAAAAAAAAGAGATCCCACCCGAGCTGTAAAGCACGAATGACATAGCCATGAAACTTCTTGTTAGGTACACGGACATGCTGAACGAGGCGATGACGCTGATCTCGACGACGCCCCGTTGCGTCGTATTCCAGCGCAGGAACATCTGGGTGGCGCCCCTGGGGCCCGACCAGCTCGACTGGGACGTGATATGCGACAGGGCCGAGCCCCACCCTTGCGTCCCCGTCGACGCCAATCACCCGCTCTACATCATGTACACGTCCGGCACCACAGGTGGTTACAACTTTTCTCTTTTTTTTTTTTTTTTTTTTTTTTTTTTTNCAGGGAAGCCACGTGTATATTTTTAAATGCACACGCGTCTCCATACAGCTAAAAGTCACGTGAGCGTGTATTAATTGAGAAAACTTGTTTCCGCTAACTTTTGTGTGGCGAACAAAAAAGAAAAAAAAAAATTCAAGGTACAAAAAAAAGACGCGATGTTTTTTTTTTTTTTTTTTTTTTTTTTTTTTTTTTTTTTTTTTTTTTTTTTTTCACTACTGCTTCGAGATGTTTTTTTTTTTTTCTTCTTCTTTGCTGCAGATAAGCCCAAGGGCATCCAGAGACCGACAGGTGGGCACATAGCGACCCTGTGCTGGACGATGAAGACGATCTACGGCATGGAGAAGAACTCGACGTGGTGGACGGCGTCGGACCTCGGCTGGGTCGCCGGGTTGTCGTACATGTGCTACGGGCCCCTGCTCTGGGGAGCCACGAGCGTCGTCTACGAGGGCAAGCCCGACAGGACACCCGACGCCGGCCAGTACTTTAGGTGGGGCTTTTTTTTTCTTTTTTTTTTTTTCACACCAGGGCTCAGGCGGGGACCGCGCGGTGTTTCTTTTTTTTTTTTTTTTTTTTTTTTCTTCCCACCTTGGATGTATATATACTCTTGACTCGGTTCTTAAACCATCAGGACTGGATTTCTATGCGAGTGCGTAGCTCTGGAATATTAAATCCGTCCTTTCGAAATCGTTTTTACAGAAAGCTGTTTCAGTGGGTTAGCCCNTTTTATATATATATTCTCCTTTGAGAAAATTCCTCGACCTTCTTCGCTAACTCTCGATACGGGGGTCGTACAATGCACGTATGGTTGTTGCGCTGCTGGTTCGATTCGAGGAAAATCCCCTTTTGATTTACACGCAATGCACAGCCAAATGTTACTTTCATTCCAGAATAATCGACCAGCACAAAGTTAACGCGCTATTCACCGTCCCCACGGCGTTCAGAGTGCTGAGGAGAGCCGACCCGGAGACGCTCCTCGGAAGGAAATACTCGACCAAGTCGTGAGTTGTAACAACGCTCGTCCCGCGAAAACAACAAACCGATTCATTTCTATACGTGTTGTAGTTTGAAGGCGATTTTCGTGGCGGGCGAGCACTGCGACTACGAAGCCAAGGCCTGGGCGGAGAAGACCTTCAAGGCGCCGATCCTGAACCATTGGTGGCAGACCGAGACCGGCCACGCCATCACCGCTTCGTGTCTGGGCCTCGGGCACAGCACCAGTCCGCCAAAGTACAGCACCGGCATGCCCTTCCCGGGATACTTTGGTAACAATGGCACTGCTGTTGAAAACAAAGGGTCAGAAACATTAGGCGTTGTTTTCTTTCCTCCCGACAGTTGAGATACTGAGAGAAGACGGCAGCAAGGCGTCCGACCACGAGCTCGGCAGGATCGTCATCAAGCTGCCCCTGCCCCCGGGCACCATGTCCACCCTCTACAAGGCGCCCGACAGATTCAAGGACATCTACTTCTCCAAGTACCCCGTGAGTATTTAACAGTTCGGGGGATGGTATGTATCGAGAAGAAAATGGAAAGGAAAAGGAGGTGGGTGTATAAAAATTTGACGATCCCAAGGCGCGTGGGTACGCGTGGTTTTTATGGCTGATTGTTTCGCGCGAACGGCGAGCAAATGAATTTTTTACTGCGTGTTGTATAACCCGCGGGGAGGTGAAACGTGTGTTTACGGCGAGTTTCGCGTGTGGGGAGCATTAGAGCGAAATTAGTGATGAGGGGTTGTTGTTTGGGATTGAGCGACGTATGGTATCAATTTCGAAAGGGCTACTACGACACGATGGACGCGGGCTACGTCGACGAGTTTGGGTACGTATACGTGACGGCGCGGGACGACGACGTGATCAACGTGGCCGGGCACCGGCTGTCGACTTCCGCCCTCGAGGACGTCATTCTCAGCCATCCGGAGGTCGTCGATGCGGCGGTGGTTGGCGTGCCCGAGCACACCAAGGGCGAGATACCCCTTTGTCTCTACGTCACGAGGGACGGTGAGCTTTTTTTCATTTTTTTTCATTTCGAAAACCGATGGTCGTTCGGTCGATAAAGAAACGTTTGCTTGTGTTCGCAGACGCTCAGATGAACGAGAGGGAAATCAACAACGAGCTGATTGCACGGGTGAGGGAGCTGATCGGACCGATCGCCTCGTTCAAGGTCGCAGCGTCGGTCAGAGCGTTGCCGAGGACGCGTTCTGGCAAAACGTGCCGAAAGTCCATTGCGGACCTCGCGCGCTCGAAGCACGTCAAGGTGAACGCACAAACGCAATGACAATCGATGCATCGTTGGCTCGGATGAACCATTAAACGATTTTTTTTTTTTTTTTTTTTTCGTTCCTCAGATCTCAAGCACCGTTGAGGATCCGACGGTCTATCGAGACATCAAGGCAGCGCTGCAGAAACTTGGATACGCGAGAATGGCGCCTGATCCCCAATAGAAATGAAAAGAAAAATAATCAAACATTCTCATCAAACGTCTCAATAGTAGTAGACTCTCTAAGACTTACCCTGTAAGCCTAATTTATCAAAAATAGTGCGTAATCTTCCTGTAAAATTTATTTGTTGAATAGTAACTTTATGTGCAGGCACATATGAACATTATGATTAGCATCGAATCGGATGCGTAAGAGGAAGCTCGTCATGTCCGAGGTTTTAGAAAAAAAAAAAAAAAAAATTACTATGATATTTTTATTAACGATCGTTAAAGTAGTCCCTGTCTCAAAAAAGGATCAACACTGGAGCAAGCCCATACATGAAATCACAATGTCACATGTAAACGTTATGAAACAGATTTACCAAGTAATCGTGTGTGTAAACTATGAGCTCAGTATTTCTTTTTTCTCTTTTTCTTTCCTTTGTTACCGTCAGTCGACGACTTTGGCTCCTCGGCGTTATCCTGTGTCCTCCTTTTGGTACCGGTAGCCATATTATCCTCAGGCTCCTCTGTAGCGGTAGGTGCAGGGTCTTCCTTGGTCTCGGACACCTCCATCGATTCCCCGGCACAAGGAATACTAAAACCTGGAATCTACAGAGAACGAGAAATTCATTTTAGTTGTTGATTGTTAAGTACCGCCTAATTGTTCATTAAGTAATGTCACATGTTATGTGTATGCAAGGTGGTGCGCTTGTTGAGTGTAATATTTTTTAACTTATCGACTATGTTGTTGAGTAAATATATGTAGATTGATGAAAAAAGAATAAAAATACATTTTTTTTCAATTTACCTCTGGCTTTACGAGCTTGAACACCAATTTTTCGTGCTGAACGTTCGATCTGTCGAGGCTCAACTGTACAATGACTTTGTCAAATGAACGGAAAGTGATGTTTCCCCAACTCTGCGTGTGCTCTTCCTCGTCGTAGACAAATGTCACGGACGACGTCTCGCCTTTCTTACTCAAGTACAAAATGCCCTCCAGACCGAATTTCGGTATAAGAATTTGCAAGGCATTTTTGCGAACAAACAATATGTAGCCCTCCTCCTCCTGGACCTTATTTCTAAAGAACAGCTGCAGAGCAAAAGACAAGTAGTATTTAAATTCTCTGTAAATACGCTCGAGCCACCTCGAGTATGAGTAAACAGACTTACGTGAGTATTGAGGGCTACAGAAGCTCTACCGGCGTATTGAGCCATTCGGTTTCGATAATTGAGATTATGACAGAGGGCGTGACTCTTCTTTTTGTCGAGCAAGTCGGGGTACGTCGCGTCCGCACCCACGCAAACTGCGAGCAGTCTATGGACTATCACGTCTGCGTACCTTTTTTTTTGAGATTTGATCGTGTATTCTCAACTCGCAAAAGCAAAGACTCCGAATCTAAAAAGTACGTTCTCGATGATGAAAAATAGAGCTTGATGACAGACAGAATTGTAACTCAAAGAATTGTCATGCTGCTCGGAAAATGGCACATCTGAAAGCCGAGTAAGTAGGATACGTAGAAAAACAAAGAAAAGAGAGAGACTGCGCGTTCGGTGTTGTTGAAAGCTCAAGAGACGTGTATAGCTGTAAAGTGTCCCGTATAAATAATATATTGTTATGGTAAGCGTGTTTCCCCCTTTTCTCCCTTACCTCTCACTCATTCATTCAATTGTCTGCCCCGTAAATATTTGCATTTATGATTATACATACTCGTAAGAGAGATTAAATAAACAAAACCCCGTTTTGATGCTATATATAATATACATATTATACATAAACAAATATACATATATATGATAAGATGGTCATTGTTATGGGAGATTTTTTCCGTTTTCAAAAAACAATCTTACACACTTACACACTTACAAAAACAGATAATCCATGAAGACACTACGAAACAAAAATGTAATAAAATAAGCCGTGCTCAGATATAGGATGTGATATAGCGTAGATAGGGTTAAATAATGTCAATAATGACATGTCGCACCAGAGTTAATTAAACAAAAAACGAAGCAAGTAGTCGTTATGTCTAAAATATAGTCTTGCGCATTTGCCACCGCAGTCGCTGAGAAAAAATTTACAAATTAAGAAAAAAAAAAAAATGTGTTAACCATGTTTAATAAAAAGTATATTACGTATGATTGCGTTTCTTCACGTATTAGTGTGGATTTTTTCTTTGTAGCGATACGGTTTTCGAATTTGATTGATTCACAGTTAAAATATGCATGCATGTACGTATAAATATTGTTCGTCAAGTTCGTGATAGTTCTCATTTGCATTGAATAACTTATTTCACATTTTAATGTAGATGTTTCATTTTTCGCCCTTATATTTTTTAATTGATGATGTATTTTTTTCCATTGAATCACTCTTGAAATGTTTGAGTATTAAAATCGTTTAGTTCGGTATACATTATTGTTCGTCGTTTTATCGACGATAACGTTTTTGTATGTGTTTATTCATATATGCATATATCAGAAATTTAATGATATTAATATTGCGTGTAAAACAAAGATATTTAAAAAAAAGTGGGGGAAAAAGTGCACCAATAAATAACCTGATGAGATAAGCAAAATCATTACAATTATCGGATGAAAAAAATAAAAGAGAAGATACATATTATATATTATATAAGCGATATATCAGATTATTGAATAAAGAAAATAGTTTTAAACGAAGGCTGCAAAACGCGCGTTAAAAAGCCTTAAATGAAGGAACGAAAATCAGAGTTGGATAATTTGAAGGTAAAGAGATTTCATCTACATTAAATAAAAAAGGGCTCGCGAGTAAAAAAAATTTAAACATTACAATGCTTCCATCTAAACCAAAAAACGTTATTGTAAGAGAACCCTAGTTGAAAATTATGCTAACATTTAATGCATAACACACGTTGACTTAAGTGTAATCGAGTACCACAAGTTGTGGTACTCGATTGTGTATGTTTGCGATAATTTTAAGCTCGAAAACAACAAAATATCCAAGACTTGAATTCATCTAAAAAATCCAATAATTATGGTTGTTAAAAAAATATACATATGAATAAAATAAAAATGGAAATTTTAGTTGCACATCATTTAACTAATCATGTTTCGACCCGAATTCATCGTTAAAATCAATCGAAGTGTTACTGACGCTCGTAACATTAAACTTTTTATTAAATTTATACTGTCGGTTCGTTGTTGACTTTTTTCCCGGTTATTTTTAAACAGAAAAGTAATGATTAAATACAATAATTCGACACTTATATTATATAAATTGTGCAATCAATTTTTTTTTTTTTTTTTTTTTTCGTTCCTCAGATCTAGCGCCTGTACACTGTTTAACCATAGGTTCGGTGCTTTGGGTTGTTTTACGCGTGTNAAAAAAAAAAAAAAAAAAAAAAAGAATATCGAGGACCGTTTGATAAACCGATCGTTTCAGACTTCTCCCTGACACCATCCAAAATGGAGTATTTCGGATCTATGCTAAATTATAGTGTTGAATTCGTTGTTCTCGTTAATTTGTTCATACTTTTGGTCATCATCATCGAACATTTGTACAATTATTTAAATCGGTAGGAAAAACAATAAAAAAAAATAAATAAAAAAATCCCAAAAAAACTGTAAAATAAAAAATCGGTTCAGAAATCAAAAAGTAATGTCAGAATCTTCTCCAAGGGAGCCAATAGCCAAGAAATTTGAACGTTTCGTCTCCAAACTGAAAGTGGTCGGACGCCAATCCAAACAAGTAAATTCGTTTTTGCACCTCGTGATTTTGTTGAACACGCAATAAAAAAAAAAAAAACGGTGGCTTTCAACATAGACGAACGTAATGGTCAAAGTCGAAAATCCGGGAGACACTTTGCAAAGGTGCGAGACACCAGAAGCTATCGATGATGCTGGGGAGTGCAGCTTTGACGAAGGCAAAGATGATTCGCCAAAAAACTTCAAAACTTTTTGCCGAGAGATGGAAAAATTTGTGAATTACGTTAAAGACAACCAAGACCTGACCAACTACATTTACAAATATCCACAGTACGATATTCACTTGTAGACCGAGTTAAGCTCGTTATTATTGAAATTTAATTTTTGTAGAAATTTACAGAGGCAGATAGACGTTCACGTGGACGATCTGCAGAATTTATTGGCCGAAATCAGTGAAACGGCAAATAATATCAAAAAATTGAAGCAACAGCGAAATTTGATAAAAAAAGAAACCACGGCTCTTAAGAAAACGATTCGACGAGTAAAAGATAATGGTTTGTGCGTCATTTTTTTCGACGAATTATGCAAAAGTTTGATGGTTTATAATGTTTTACCACAGAAACCTATGAGTTGGAATCAATTGTGTCTCAATACGACAAGGAGATGTACAATCGGTGGTCAAAAGCAAAGTGGAAAATCGATGCCATGGAAGATTTGATGTTTGACGTTCAGGTAAAACTTGACGATCAAAACAAAAATTTCACCCTAAAACTAATAAAACATGATATGCATGAAGGAAAAACAAATAGTCTTGGAAAGTTTGCAAAAACTAATAGATCGCTGCATTGTCAAAGTCAAAGATGGCAGTTTTATAGACGAAGAGTCGGAAAAAAACTCCAACAACGATGATTCTATTTCCTCACTGCCCTCGATATTTTCGATTGAGAATAAAATTCCCACACCACCACCGGCCCCAACTTTCATACCTCGGCCTGCTTCAGTCACCACAAACAATCTAAGTAGGAGTAGTTCTCGGCTATCTTGGGCTCAGCGCAGATTTAGGTATTATTGGTCTGGTATTGTTGATTCATTTATATCGAGATCCATACGGGTATAATAAAATTTGAATCGCTGCAGAGCAGAAAAAAGAGGAAACATCGTTCCTGTGCGGCTAGTTATGGAAAATCGCGAGAATGATCCGTTTGCTTTTACTTTTCACGTCAGCAACGCTAATGGAAACAACGTGAATTTCAGTTCCAACATTTTTGAATCCAATTGGCCGAGATTTTCTTCCAATTCTACCGATACGATCTCCAGTGTTGGTTCAAACAATCAAAGACAGGTTGAAAATGACTTTGATGTGAAAACAGAGTCGCAAATGGTATGAATCACTTATTCTGATCAAAAAAAATTTTTTTTTTTTTTAATCTTCAAAATTTATTGTTTCAGATGCTGTTTGAAGAAAGAAATAGAAACGCTGGGCTAATAATGACAGAGAGTAACGATAGCTTCAACTCGCACACGATTCCCGAAGAAAGTAGTAGCTCAAATTGTTCTTAAAAATTAATGAATAAAAAAAATCAGCAAAAATAAAAACCAAAAGCACCTATTGATGAATTACAATTGCGAACATGGATAATTCGAAATGTACTTACATCCTCGGTGATAATCCAAGGTAACTGGGGCAAGAAACTCGAGACCTCCTCGGAGAATCTGCTATGTGGCACGTCGTGTTCTAAAAGTAATACTTCGTTCTCGGTGTCCTTGTCACCAATGGTACCCAAGGCTCGCACAAAGTGTCCTAGCGGATACCTTGCATTTCTCGGCCAGGAGTCTATCGCAACTATGATACGTTGAGTACTCAAACTTTCTGCTTGTCTTGTTTCTATTCTGACTTTGGGGATCTTTCTTTCTGCTGGCACAAAAAGGTGACGAGTATTCTGCGGAATTATAAAAGTTGAACAACACTTAGCTAGTTTCATAGTTTCATACATCAGAAGAAAAAAAAAATAATAATGACCTCTTTGAGCGCGCTTCGTTGTAATATTCCGCAATACTGCCTCCACTTCCTCCTGATGATGCCAACGATTTTACCAGTTGGTTGTTTCTCTTGTGCAACAACTGGCTTGGCTTCGGCTAGTATTTTTTCATCATCTATAACGTCACCAGGGTCGTCTTCCGTTTCATCTTGTAGAATTATGTCACTCGGGGCCGACCACTCACTTTCTGGCAATAGTTCTAATGCAACTAAATCGCCGTCTATTGCTCTGTTTAACCCTTCTCTTCCTTGCACAAGAATCTAAAAATCAATGTTTTTAATATACTAACAAATAAATACTTAAAAATGATAAAATTTTTGGCTTACAAATTTTTCCATTGCTTCACAATTGACACTTCCTTCCAAAAAATTTTCTCTTGATGCCAAGAATGTGCCTTGAATAAGTTTACCATTCTTGATTCCTTCATGAATTTGAGCTGGCGGCAAGTGACAGGGAAAAAGAGGTGCTCTGCCTTCTCCATCCAATATGTATTCTTTTCGACTAAGTTTGTCAACGAGAAATCCTGCATTTTCCAGTGAACTAACGTAATCGTACACTAAAAAATAATTTAGAATTAATTACATTTTTGTATGCACAAATTAATTTAATAATAGAAAACTGACTTGTAGATACAGGAATTCCATCTTCAGCAGCTTTGTTCTTATTATCCTCATCATCAGTCAGTAAAATAACTTTAATATCAAGTTTTTGCGCACTCAAGTGAGAATTGTACCATTTGGCCACAGCTCTGATTGCCCTGTCATTTTTATCATTTGGAGTTTCCCGCGGCTTTCGCTCGATGAACGTGTCTCTGCAAAATTAATGTGTCTCACAGAGTAAAAGAAAGTCGTACGGATTACGTGATTATTAAAAAAAGTTGAAAAAACTTACTTGTGGTGTTCATTAATGAAAACATAAAATTTTCGCTTGGGATCACTAATGAGCTCTTTGAGCTTTTTGTAAACATTAGAACTTCTGTGACGCACTTCTTCGAGCACAGTTTGCGGAATAATAACATTGCATAAAATATCTTCTTCTAAAATATTTATCTAAACAGAAATTTAATGAGCAAAAATATTTGGTGAAACTATCAAGGTAAAGAATTAATGAAAACATACCTGATTCAATACAATATTTGTATCGAAAATTAAATAGTACGGATGTGGGTATAGAGTGCTTTTCACTCCAGGATTTTCCTCGTCAAGTAAAATTTCTTTCTTTCTACGCCCACATTTTTCACAAGCTTCTGAGCCACACCAGATATCATCTCTCAGGTAGTGTTCTCTGACAACCTTGTAAAAAAAAGAGAAAAAAGTAACGTTGACAGTGTAGTTTTAGAAACATACTTAAGCAACGAGCATTAAAGTTGACGTAAACAAAACACATCGATTTACTTTGTAAATGTGACCACCCTTGGTTTTTCGATAAAAAGTCTTAGAAGCCAACATTTTTGCACTTTCTCGTATTTTCACTAATCATTAACACGACATTTACAATTTAAACGGACTATTTATTTATTATAAAAAAAGGATTGTTTACACGTGGAGGGCGTATCATCTCCTAAAAAACTAGGTTAGATTTACCGCGTACGACCCGGAATTTAAAATTTTCGCACTTGTCAACCATTGGTAGGTAATAAGGAGACCAACCCATCAAGACCGACTGAAAATCACGATCTAGAGCGACATTATCGACACTCGATAAAGATAAAAAAGTTTGGTTCATATCTCGGTCGCAGTGTTCGAGCCGATTACCCTGACCCGGCCCCGGCCACACACGCACCCTGCACACGCCACAGTCGTAGTGGTACTCGTGTATAGTGCGGACGTGTGTATAGAGAATCAAGGAAAAACGACAAAAAAGAGGGGCTGCAAGGAGCAGAAGCCAAACTCTTCATTTCATTGTGTTTTATCAATTAAAAGCACCCTTAAAGTAGGCAAGTCAAACTCGCTGTTCACTAAAACATCTGTCTGTCCGGAAAACCTATTCATCCCACGCGAATTCTCGTCTCCATTCATTTTTCCTCTCTCATCGATGGGGGAATGTCCCCCTGGGGACTCGACTCGACCGCGTGCTCTTCTGCTCGTATAGGTCAAGGGGTGAAAAATGCATATACATATATATACGATTACTTACCTAGTTATGACGTTTTTTTTTTTCAATTATTTCGTGCGAATCATGCACTCGCATCAAATCAGTATTGTAGCAAATATCTTTTTATTGAGATAGTAAAAGGCGTTTCGTAGTATAACCGATTATTGTGAACAAGATATCGTGTTAAGTGCCAGCAAAGTGTTGTTTAACTGTTGAGCACGAGTAAATTGAAATTATTTTCAAAGCAAGAAAATTATCTCTTCTTGGATTTGCATGGACAGGACAGCATTTGAAGTTGTGTTTTAACGTGGTTCTTTAAAAATACACCAAAAGCACATACTGATTTATTAATTATTGTATGTATTAATCTGCATTGCGAACTACTTTTTACGTTACCAACTCTGCGAGACATTGTCTCCAACACGATCCGCTCACGCACGTCATTCTAATTATTTTTCGAACGTCAATGCAAAAATTTTCAAATACCACTGTCAAACGATTTTTGAATCCAATCATTTCGCGTAAATGAATTTCATTACTTACTGCCTGTTTATCATCTTTGAGTTATGTATACACAACAAAATTTTAAGGAATTCCCAAGATTCATTCATTGATAATCAATAAAACGTCAAGTGGCTTCTATTTTTGTCCTCCCTGTCATCAACCCTTCCGGTCATTTCGTCAACTTGCAACATTAACTTGCAGGAAAGCCAAAAAGCTCGCACAAGCTCTGATACGTGTATAAGCTTTCGAATTCAACATCGCGGAACAAAAAAGCATCAGCAATTCATAACATTCAGTGACTTTACAGAGGCACGCAATTTTTTTTCAGTAGACTAACGGAAAGTCCCGCTTTTTTCAGTAGCTTCCGAGTCTTATTTTATACAACCGAGCTTGTTGGTTATTTTCCTCGAGTAATTGCAGTATCTATACTGTGTATATACTTGATTGGATAAAATAGAGAGAGTTCCCTTGATACTCGCCCGCTGCGTGCGTAGGTCAATCGTACGTTACATTGAGGAGCTGTGGTATAATATGTGGGTCCAATTATTTTTATTCTAAAAAATTGAGTAATTTTCTTACTTTGTTCCTCCCGTGCAGTGATGTATGAAGATAAACATGTTTGCTCAGGGAAGCCACGTGTATATTTTTAAATGCACACGCGTCTCCATACAGCTAAAAGTCACGTGAGCGTGTATTAATTGAGAAAACTTGTTTCCGCTAACTTTTGTGTGGCGAACAAAAAAGAAAAAAAAAAATTCAAGGTACAGGAGAACAGGTTTTTTTTTTTCAATTCTAAAATACCTATAAATTATGGATTTATCGCTTCGAAATTTGCATTTTTTATATTATTGATATATTATATCAAGAAAACGTGATTCCTGAAACGCGTATAATTACTGCAGTGATAATAGAATTGGCTCTTTGTGAAGCCGCGATAAATTATCAGAACAGTTTACTTGGTTGTCGCGAGGCATTTAAAAGCAATTTGTAAAAAGCTTCGTCGGCGAATAGTCCCGTTCCAGAGAGAGAGAGATAACAGAGAACTGCATGTATATACTTATCTTGCCCACTAAATTTTTTGTAACTACATAACGTTATTGTTGAGACTAGAACCAACTCCCAACTAATCAAATCTCTCACGTTACACTGAACTTAACACCGCGTGAGAACGAATTAAAGTATATGTACTTGGCGGGGACTCTATTTCCATGCGCCTGCGATCGAAAATAGCCTTTGAAAATGGCTCGGTTGGGCATCGTGTAGGTACAAGTATACGCGCGCATAAAAATTTGCTCCTATACAACCAACTGTGAATGTTGAGAAAAACCGATTATCGGCTCTTTTCACGAGAAATGTTGTTTCTCATCGCAAAGCGATCGAACAAAAATAAATAACGGCGCGCGTGAAATGGAACCGACGCTTCGGAGAACGAGTTGCTTTAATTTTTTTTTTTTTTTTTTTTTTTTTATAATTCATAAAACTGGATGGAAACGGCCGGTCGATCGATCAACGATCGTTATATAATTACTCGCGAGTTTGCGCTCCTCACTTTTCAGTAGTTCAACGTCAGAGCTGCTGATGCAGGAGTTGAAAAACATAACGTAATACACGCACACTCGAGTGCAAACGCATATTATCACGTAACCCAAACAACAGATGATTAATGTGCTTAATCCTCGTGTACACATGCGCGTAAAAGAGACAAGATTGCGGATACTCGTTTATATTTTTCCTTAGTCTCTCGGGAACATATGATACCTATGCAGACACAGGAGTTGGTTGCGATAAGGGATCTACGTGCTTTTCCTTGAGCGAGACAAACGGTATACTTACTTGTGTGGGTGTCCAAAGAGGAAACGCTAGTTTATAGTCACTCTGTGCGCGAAACAAAATGCATCATGTGCTAAAAGAAAAGAAAATTTTGTTTACGGCGATAAATAAAAGAAAATTAACACAACATTAGCCGTGTTGAAAATAAAAGTAATACTACATAAAAGACACTGATATCCTCGCATTCGAACGAACATCGAGGAAGAAGAAAAACTAAGATCGGCTTACTCAATCTATATTATGGTCTCATTAAACGCGATAAGGGCCGATCAGGTATAAAGTTCGCCTCCTGTTGCACGCGAGCGCTACATAAGTACATTACACTGATATTTATGTGTGTCCTCGCCCGTCACGCAAGTCGAGCCTCTCTTTCCCGCATCCTCCGATCATGATTATAATGGTGTCTCGTATGTCTCGACAAATTCCTCGAAACGGCCGTTCGACATCAAAGCCTCCTCTCATTTATTTCGAAGATTAATCGTACTTAACGAACATATTTTTTATTTCAATAACGCTCTTTCACTTGTGTTCCAGGAAAAACGGATAACCAGCGGATCAAAGTCACCATTGTCACATGAGTGAATCAAACTGATCATCTCCCAAGAATCGGCCACCACACGGAAAAATGGCTCTCTCGCAAAGGGTGAACGGTGAGTCTCTTGTGAATTCTTCTGGTTTTTTTTTTTTTTTTTTTTCCTTCCTTATTTCAGGCATCAGGAGACACGATCAACGTCGCGCGAAAATCCGCCGGTCGCGCGCGCACGATGACGATCACCGGTATGCGCTTTAAATTTTATTAATAGATAGGATCGGACGAGTGGGAGTATAGTGTATTGTGCACCGGAGTCGTGGCGAATGGACGTAAAAAATTAGCCAACACGCGGTTACGCTTCGTATACGTCGACAAGGTCGCGTAATTTGGCGTTGGAAAAAAAAAATGGCTCTGCTACTCTGTAACGAGCTCTATTTGTTTTTATGATGACTGTTAAGCGAAAAAAAAAAAATAATAATAGTAACAAATATAAACTTCACTAGTCACGCAGAGTGTGCCTACAAAGTGAAGCCATTAATTGAAGACGCGGGTATAACTGAAGTGCGGCTATGTATAAGTACGAGAACTACGGCGGTCAATCACCATCAGAGAGAGCACTCGCCGGTGCATTAACCCTCCCTTATACAAGATTCTCTACGCGTGTGTGTATACGTACAAATGTATAATATATTTTACGCGATCCATATTATACTCACATGTACCGATTACCGATCGCGCGTCCTTGTAACCAATCAATGTGGAATGACAATAGAATTTTTTTTGTTCATGTGGCTCGTGTCTTTGCATAAAAATTCGAATGCCATCAGCTATCAAGTACGACCCGTCGCCTTGAGAGAGAGGCTGTGAATGCAACGACTTGACGATCAACACCCGCGATGTCTCTGCGGTACAAATTAATGGAAAAAATAAAAATAAAAAATTGTTTTCCCCCAAAAAAAAAACAGAGCTGATACCGCGGCGAGCGGTGCTGGGCGCCCTGATGTTCTTCGCGTGCATGTTTTCGTACGTGATACGCACGAACCTGTCCATCATCATCGTGGCGATGGTGGCGGGCAAAAAGGGCGGCGCCACTCGAGGACCCGAGTGCAACGCCGATGGCTTCGTCAACTACACCGCCGTAGCCAACCAGTCGCTCATGACCACTGCCTTGCCCGACGTAAGTATATACATATACATCCTTCATTTTTACATATCATAATTATGTTCCTCGGATAAAATTCATCGAGATATTAATTGGCACCTGCAGTACGGCCCGCGTTACCCATGGAGCCAAAACGTCGTGGGACTCATCTTGGCGGCCTACTTTTACGGCACGTTACCCTCGAGCGTGCCCGGTGGTATGCTGGCCGAAAAATTTGGCGGCGCTAGAGTCGTAGCGTCAGTATAATTATCATATTTTTTCGATTTATCTATGTACATACAATGACAATTGTCTCCAATTGATGGATGAATTTTTTTTTTTTTTAATTTCGCAGTTTCGCGACACTGATACCGGCAGTGCTGAATTTGCTGATGCCCTACGCAGCCGATGCCCATTACATGTTGCTCGTCATTCTTCGCTTCATCATGGGCTTCTTTGGTGTAAGTTTGTACAAGAGGTTTTTGTAAGCTATATACAGTTCCGAGCTTCGTTTTCAATTAGGGTTATTTGTTTCCTTTTTACTGTTGACCCATCGGTTGAAGCGAGAGATTGTTAATCAAGAGAAACCGTGACGATCATTTGCACAAAAATTAACACCCCGTTGATTTAAAGGGGATTTTTAAAAACGCCCAAGGCCGGCGTCGTTCTTTTATTTTTATGTACATATTACTCAAACGCTAAAGAGCACAGCCAAGAGATTCGTTTATTATTTCTCTTTTTTTTTCTTTTTTTTTTAATTTTTTTTTT